GAACAGTCCAAGGGAGATAACTCCAATGTAGCAGATGAAGGGTGTGCATTGTTTGCTGAGCACTTGTGGGCAGCATTATATTTTTACCTGACACTTTATATAAATGGTTTAACAATACTGTCACAGGTAACGCAGATATGCAGAAACTGACGCATGGACAGCGGAACAACTTTATTGGGTTAGACGCAAACTGAAGTTTCAAGCCAAATGGATGTTTGAAGGGCTGCAATAAACAGACTGTGGGAGATGTTCTAATCCGCATCGACAGTTTGTTGGATTAAAAAAACTACCTACACACCCTGTATGAAATTAAGAAATTTACAGCCTTTTCGCACTGTAACTATGGTAAATTCTTCCCATTTTGGTCACCTTGCCATAACCTCTTCACATAAATTACAATTAAAGTGTGTTCTTCTGGTCTTGTATCACCCTACGGATTATCTACCATCCGTGTCAATATTTTGTCATATATATACATGTACCACTAATACATCAATTATATGACATTTATGAATCCAATATAAAGAAATGACTATGGGCCCGATGCAACAACACAAGGACTTCAAATGACAGGCTCAGGTCGGGGCTTCGGTAGTGATGATTTAACGTTACCTGTGACAGTGTAATCGTCAGTGTGAAAGTCTGTTGACGTTTTCCTTTTAAACCCTACCAACCGAAGTCACAGCATGCAAGCATGACAGATTGCAATTTGCAGGTGCAGAAGGCTTTATGGACATTTTTTGGCCTTTTCAAGTAAGGCCAATCAGGGCCCCGTTCCTCAAAGCGATCGTAGCGCTACGACTGTCGTAAGTCTATGTTAAAGTATGGGAGTTACAATCATCTTAGCGCTACGATCGCTTTGAGAAACGGGACCCTGGTCCGACGGCTACGTTTTGGCGCTTTTTTGCTGTTTTCTTGTTCCATCACATTCAGCACGCTGTTTGTAGTCCTGTTACAGTTCAAAGGAGGCTTATTTCGTATATTGGTAAATATTTTCAATTACTGTAAACGTACTTATTTTCGCGTGGTGCAATTTTCGCGTAATTGACAGTTTAGACTACATCGCGCGGTCAATTATTCGCGCAATCAGTAATTGCCGGAACTGCCAGCTGTCTCCTTGGCCGCCACTAATAGAAGTGAAAACAAACAGAGTGGCTTAACCTGTCAGGCGGCGTTTATTGCTTACTCACAGGAAATCCCTATCTGTGCGATATACTAGTACACAGTAATCCGTTTACTCACGGAAGAGATGAAAAACACATCAGTCTTATGTTCCGAATTCTGACGAATTAACTTCTACTGTATATGAAGCTCTTTGTGATTTCAAACAAGCCTGGTTGTTGTGAATGAGATGATTGAGTGTTAAGTGACTATTCGCTTCATGATGTACTGGTAAATAAAATCTTAATGAATAAATAAAATACTGCTGTATTATTTCTTTCCGAGTCGTTTCATGGTAATCTGTTTTGTATCAAACCATCTGTCACGTGACCAATTTCCATGGCGGCCACAACACACATTGCTGTTTTCGCAAATTCGGCGATGGGATTTCGCTCAATATTTAATTATGTTTTGTATTATGTTCGCAAAAGTACTCTTTTTTTGGAGTGGGGGTATCGGGTGGAATGGGGGTGAGGGGGAAGGGGAGTATGTTATGTACCACCCCAACAGAAACACCAGTGTCACCTGTGTCCTCGTCATTGGATAAATGGTAACAACACCAACTATTCAGTTATGGATGGATGCCAGACTTCCATGGGCAGACTAAAGGCCATGGTGTCATCGACAAATGTGAAGCTCAGGATTCTGCCACAAGTAATGACTCACCGGGCTTTTGCAGAGCAGGTTTCTAGCCAATGTCTAATACACACGATGAGGAAGAGTCTCACATTGTAGGATTACCCACTGTCCGCTTAAAAAACAAAACAAAAACAACACTTAATTTTCACCAACCTAGTTAGCAACAGCGATCAGATGGTTACTATAGTGTGTTATGGGTTATGGGCACCAGAAATGGGCTTGACGCATTATACCTATGTGGGGAATCGAACCTGGGTCTTCGGCGTGACGAGTTTTAACCTCTGGGCTATCCCGCCACCCCGGGAAGGTTAGTAAACAGACTGCACCTGCAGAGGTGGAGGGAGGTTATCATCTTTCAGTTTCGGGGCCAAGACCTGACAACATTGATGACTTCCGCATTGATCACTAACATTTGAGGAGATGATAATGAGTCAGAGTGTTGGGTACATATGGACTTTGTACAGCTGTCGATGTAATCTGTACATGACCGGCAAATTCATGAATATCATAGCATGTACTCAATGAAGAAGAGAGGTTAGTCTACTTGTGTATTGACTTTTCTCTCTCTATATAATGAATCGTCCTGGATAAACCCAGCTATTGCTGACATCCTGGTAGTCACAGTCCCGTGTTGTTTATTTTTCCTCCTTCGTGTTTATATAATGTCATGTGATGACCTTGTGACCCTTAACATTAGCTTCTATTACAATGATAGGAGTGATATGAGGTGAAGTGAGGTGAGGTAAGACGAGGTGAGGTGAGGTAAGATGAGGTGAAGTGAGGTGAGGTGGGGTGAAGTAAGACGAGGTGAGGTGGGGTGAGGCGAGGCGAGGTGAGGTGAGGTAATACGAGGTGAGGTGTGGTATGACGAAGTGAGGTGATATGGGGTGAGGTGAGGTGAGGTAAGACCCGGTGAAGTGGTGTGGATGAGGCGAGGCGGTGTGGGGTGAGGTGAAGTGAAGTGAAGTGAAGTGAAGTGAAGTGAGGTGAGGCGAAGTGAAGTGAAGTGAAGTGAAGTGAAGTGAGGGTAAGGTTAACGTCACATTCGAGAAGGATGTACAGTAAAACTACGTTTGTATCGAACACGCTTATATCGAAATGAATTCGACGTTCAAAATCATAGGATCTGGGAACAACCGTGGGATGCATATATTCATAGAATTTGAGTTATCTTGGACGTGACCATCTACCAAAGAATGGGTCTTATTCGCTGAATAAAATAACGTTTTAATGGGGGTTAACTGATAGTCTGATCATGCTGTTGGGGAATACTGGGACCAAAGATTCATGCTGATGTGGCTAGAATAATGGTCAAGGCGTCGTAAGATTCCAACCCAGGCTTCTATTTTGCTAATGCACGTATAGTGAAAGATTTGTTTGGTAGGTAAAAAGTGACAGACATATTTTATTTCTGTAATTCTAGGCCAAGGGCCCATAATACAACATACATGTGTAAGTATTAGTACTCTAAATATAATCAATAAAACATTGTAATATCAGATTTTCTTCACACTTTCGTCATATGACTGAGGAGGCGTTCAAGACAAATTAACGTGTTTAAGTTGATACAAAAAAAGTGTTTACTTAGTAAGGTTGTCAAAACTGTGATAAACAAGTGTACACGAAGGAGGGTATTCTTGTCTAATACATATCTCTCACATATTAACACATTTATAAAAAAATGCAGGTACAGTGGTAACATCATATTGTACATGCGTAAGTATTAGTACTGTGAATATAATGAATAAAACATTGTAATATCAGATTTTCTTCTTACTTTCTTTATATGACAGAGGAGACGTCCAAGACAAATTAATGTGTTTATGTTGTTGCAAGAGATTTGACTTATAAATGAATCAAAACTGCGGTTAACAAGTGTACATGAAGGAAGGCATTCTTGTCTAATATCTTCATATCTCTCACATATACTCATGCCAATAAGGGTTGTCACCCCCTCCCCACCCCAACCCCACACACCCCTCTCCAATAAAAAAAATTGAAGGGGGTGACAACCATTATTGGCATGAGTATATTAACAGAACATGGAATTCATCGTCGACAGATGTAAACCATTTCTATCACAATAAGAACAAAAATGCATTATACAGGATATTTTGATTAAGTTCAAGTTTGATTTGGATCCATACGTGAAACACATAGCCAGGTGATTGAGTGAGTTTAGTTTTACGCCGCACTCAGCAATATTCCAGCTACATGGCGGACGTGGACAGGTCAGGGTTCTTATAAACATGATATCTGTGAAGTAAGACTTTGTAATGACAATTTGTCTAAGGAAGAAAATATGATTAATTCCTAAAATATTACCTTGGATTATTGTTATTGATAAGCAATCTATATCAGCGTTGGTTTACATATAGAACTTCAGTTCCAAAATAAATACCCAATCTTGACTATCCTCAGATACAATTCCGTTTGATGTAAAGGAAAAAATAGCTGTGAAAATGATATGAATGGGTCACTGACAATCAATAATGATATGGATTGGTCACTGACAATCAATAATGATATGAATGGGTCACTGACAATCAATAATGATATGAATGGGTCACTGACAATCAATAATGATATGATTGGGTCACTGACAATCAATAATGACACCTGGTGTTCGCGAAAAAAAGAAACCCTTGTCATTCCGGATATATTTGAAATTGTGATGTTTAAATATAATGCTATTTGAATTTGTTTGTAACTCTCCATACTCCTAGCAGATCTCTCCATTCCAGCAACTCCCTTCCTCTCTCTCAGCCAACCAACAAGACCACTATGGATGACAGAGCCTTCTCAGCTGCAGCCCCACTACCCTGGAACAGCCTCCCAATCACTATCACAGAAATCAGCTGTAAAGACTCTTTAAAAACCCACCTAAAACCCATCTGCTCAAACCAGCCCTCTCATAGTCCTTCAGACTTTCTTCTTCAGCCCCGTTGAGCAAATTCTGTTTGGAAACAGGCGCTATATAAATTCATTATCATTATCTTTATCATTTCTGAATTTTCAAATGTCAAGGTCAGCGTATCAGTAAACCAAAAGTATGGGTGAAAAGGCCACAGTCAAGTACTCATTGCGGAACAATGCCGGAACAGTTTGAGGTCTAATTTGGGATTTTCAATTATTACCGTGGTTTTCCCCTGGTAGGATAGCTTCCTTATATGATGCACGAAATACCAGTTTCTGGCCGGAAGTATCGTAAGAAGATTTCGATTTCCCTTCTGGGTATTATGTTTCAGTTTATTGTAGACTACAATTAGTTGCCGGTGTTGTTGTGGAAACAGTCAGCCGAGGAGTCACTATGGTGCTTGCAAGGATAGCTTTGACCGTCTTGTCTTTATTCGTTGCAGGTGAGTTGACCGTGAGTTTTCTGGGTTCACGACTGACCTCATGAGAATCTATCTAACAATTGGGATACGATGACTGACTGACTGACTGAGTTTAGTTTTACGCCGCTTTTAACAATATTCCAGCAACATCACGACGGGGGACACCTGTAATGGGCTTCACACATTGTGGGGGATACGACAACATGCATTGTAATGTATATGTATGTAAATATTAGTTGCCTCTTAGAGTCAGAAATACTTGTCACGTCACAGGGGGATAGGGTAGCCTTGTGGTTACAGCGTTCGCTCGTTACGCCGAAGAGCCGAGTTCGATTCCTCACATGAGTTCGATGTGTGAAGCACGTTTCTGGTGCCCCTCGCTGGAGTGTTGCTAAAACAACAGCGTAAAACTAAAGTCACTCACTCACTCACTCAATCACTCACTCGCTCATTATGCTTGCCGACTGTATGTGTCACGTTGTTTCATCATACCCTGAAGGCGAATCCGTTGCACACACCATCACTCACTGGTTTGCTTGGGATATTGGTTACTGCAGCGTAAATAATTGATACACGTAAAAGGCGACTAACGGGATTGGGTGGTCAGGCTCGCTGACTTACTTGACACATGTCATCGCATCCAAATTGCGAAGATCGATGCTCATGATGTTGATCACTGGATTGTCTGGTCCAGACTCGATTATTTACGGACCACCGCCATATACTAGTAGCTGGACTATAGCTGAGTGTGACGCAAAAATAAACTCACTCACGGGGCATCAACACTGGAAAGACACAAGTATCAGTTGCGTCATGTGACATTTTAATATAAGGTAACCGTTATATTTTACTGAGCAAACATCATGACAATGATTCAATCGCATGACGTTATCAACCTTCCGGTTACCTGATAAGTTCATGCATTTCTGTCCGTATATGAGAGGTCCATACTTATGCCTTTTGACCACGATGTAATTTGAACCACCTCAGTATGATGCATTTTTGTATGGTGATATATTCTTCCAGTTTGTTGACTTTTCTTCGTGTATGGGCAAGAATTCCACAAGGTCGAATTCAAAGATTTATTCAGCCCATGCTGAGACGGTGCAGAACAGTTTTGTGGGCCAATGGTGGCCACAACAGACATTGAAGACAACGCCCAACTGGGAATGAACGCTTTATCACTTTTTATAAGCTCTTCGTGTTAACAGAATTACATGTGTTATACCACTTTAAATATCAAATTCGTGAAAAAACACCTTTGCGTTTCTTTTATGGGAGAGTATGTTATAAATGTTTCATTATTTTCATTACCCTTTTGAATGTATGGAATCTGTTTCAGCAGATAATTGCGACTGAGTACTCGCTGGCATTGACTTTCTTTGCAATTTTAAGACACTGTCAGTGTGTATCGCCCACTGACTTCTATATCCTCATATAATTTATGACAATATTAGAATCTTTCATGATGTGCCATTGCTCATTAACATATACAATAGCACGTCTATTTTAGATGACAAGAGTTAGATGCTTACCATATCCCTTGCTCTGAGTGTTATTGTTCCGGAACGAAACGGGTGAAATACAACATCTTCCGGATTCGGGAGGTTAGCGTTGTTGCACAGTTTCCATGACCTTGTGCCTCTTACCAATAACATGGGGCGGTGGGGTAGCCTAATGGTTAAAGCGTCCGCTCGACATGCTGAAGACCCGGGTTCGATTCCCTACATGGGTGCAATGTGTGAAGCCCATTTCTGGTGTCCCTCGCCGTGATATTGCTGGAATATTGCTAAAAGCGGCGTAAAACCATACTCACTCACTACTTATAACATACATTACTTTGGAATACAATATATCGATGTCGAATATAAGTCGAATATAATTCGAATTTACAATAGTTCGACACAAAAGAAATGTCCTTCCATGAACATAATTTGAACGATTCATTGACTGGAATTTTAATGTTATTGATATATTTACTTTTAGTTTTAGTTTTAGTTCTCTACGTGTCATAACCGACTCAAGTTTATTTTGTAATATATCTAGCGTTTAATATATGGCTTCATGGGTTGGTAAGGGCGTTGTGAAACAGGGTATAGCAATATCAACACTGGTAAAGGAAGAGGGAAGTTAATGCAGGGTAATGATGTTTCCATGATTACACAATACTTGAGCGGCCTGTATTGAATATTGAGGAATTCTAATTCATGCCCATGTTGATTGAACTTTGGGCAGCATTTTCATTTTCTCATCGCCCAACCGACCCTTCTAATTTTATTGCATTCCAACACCGCTGACTCGAACCTAAAATGTACTACCTCGTCATCTAAAATGTTTATCATAAAATCAGTCGCTGCCACAAGTCCAAAGAACGCGAGAAATTGTAATAAGAATTACAATCATGAGAATCAAGAACATTGTTTTCTTCTTTTTATTTGCCCCGACCGACCGACCCATGTTCAGCAATTAGTGGCTACGTGAAACAAAAATGATACCCCGTCTTGGCGGAATGGATTGAATCCGGTCATCAGGTCGTCTAATGCTCGGCAATTCGCTTTACAGAGTTGCACCCCTAGGCGTATCAGAACTTTATAACCGTGGATTCGAATCATATATTTGTCCTAATAATGGGGGCGGTGGGTACCCGGTAGTTATACATCGTAATGAAAATACAATTCAGGTTCTTGGGTGTGAGCAGGTTCTTGAATTAGTACAGAACGTTATTTGAAAAGCAAAATCTCTTTGAAAGCTAGATTTGACTCTCAACATTGTACATTATTTAATAATTAATTAATTATTCATTTCCTCCACATGTTGCCAGGCGTCGAAGCAAAGCAGTGCAAGGTGAAACATGAAACTATTACCTGCTTCTTCGGATGCTGTAAAGCCTCCTTCAGCAACGGCTGCTGCCTACCGAATCAGTAAATATTATTTTTCTGACTTACATAATACTACAAGGGGAAAACATTTAGTAATTTTGATCTAGGACATTGGACTAACATATTCGTTTCTGCGTTATCCTTGAACATAGAAGTAGTAATGTGTTAAATATCCTCATATTGATATCATATTTTGTTTGTTCTAAATGCCTCTCAAAGAAGTTATCTTTTTGTGTGTGTTTGTTGTATAACGCCCCACACGGCAATATTCCAGCTATATGGCGTCGATCTGTAAATAATCAAGCTGGACCAGACAATCCAGTGATCAACAGCATGAGCATCGATGTACACAATTGGGATACGATGACATGTTCAACCAAGCCAGCGAGCGTGACCACCTGATCCTGTTAGACGTCTCTTACGACAAGCATGGGTTGCTGAAGACCAATTCTACCCGGATCTTCACGGGTTATTGCTATTATCATTACTTATGGTTTCGTTCATATTTGCTCACTTAGAAGTGGTAAAGATAGTTTGTCTGTATTCAGTATCTTGTTACTAATAATGATTGCCTATTACATCCTCTTCGTGGTTTAGGTTTGGTTTCTTCCTCGTCATGGTCGTGATCGTGTCGATCACCTTCATCGTCGCTGCCTGCATACATTGCTGTCGAAGACGTCCCACCTACATGGCTATACCTGGAGCATGTATGTACACGTGTATTTGGTGATCAGCTTCACGCATGTTGTAACAAATGTAGTTAAATCCATGTCAAATCTGGATCTACCTTCAGTTGCTAGTGATCTATAGCCCTTTCTTATATTGTATTGTCTAACATTATAGTATAAGTTTAGTTACATGCTAGTTTTATATCTCTGTCTGTGATACCCTAGTAGTTTTACTGTTCATCATCAACAGTTTTATAACTTCTAATTTTATTGATCTTTGATATGATAATTAATTGTTCTTGTCACGATATGGCTGTAATATTGCCGATGTGATGATAAATATTAACTCACTCACTCACCCATGTCACATCTGTGTTTGTTCCATGTCAGATAGACGATGGAGATGGTAGTGGTGATGTATTTTACCCAAAAAGGGCCTAATGACGTACATGAAAGCAAACATTGTTTAAGATGGATGGATGGATAAACTTGTTTTATGTGTATCATCGTTTATCTCACACATAAATGTCGTTTTCTGATTGACTGAGCACTCTTCTATTATTTTCAATGTATCCCGCTTACAAGCGAGTAACTTTTTCTGTGTACCCCGCTGGGAATGCTAAACTCATTTGGTACTTCGTAGTAGTAATTCTTTGTCTCGAATAACAATTTATAGTTATCTCCCTTCCATCGATTTGCATTCGCAAAACATCGGTAATGTCCGTACAGCATACGTGATTCAATGTTATTCGAGATAAATAATTACTACTACGAAGTACCAAATGAGTTCGGCATTCCCAGCGGGGTACATAGAAAATGTTACTCACTTGTAAGCGGGGTACATTGAAAAATAACAGAAGAGCGCTCAGCCAATCAGAAAACGACATTATGTGTGAGGCAAGATAAATAAATATGCGTCCGAACTCCATATGTGGTACATGTATATTTAACGTTTTCAAATGAATTCTAAAATACATTATTATTATTGTTATCAATATTTTTTAATCCTGTTTGAATTATGGATTCAGCTGTTAGATGATATATAAACTCTGCATTAGGTCAGTACTTTTAGGATCTATACTATGCCTTTTTTGACATTTCAGACCAGCAAACAATGTGGTATTCCCGACCACACGTATCATATGACTACCCTCCAGGAATTCCATCTATGGCGACCTCCCTTGGCTACCAACAGCACAATGCATCCAATTTCTACCAGTCAAGATTTTACCAACACAACTGTAACAGAGGTTTTCAACCAACACTGATGTTCAATCATGATAAAGTGTCTCCTCCCCTACCAGGAACAGCTGCCAACAAGTCATCCAGGCAGACACAGCTTCCGGTATTAAAGGAACCAGCAAGTCAGAGCACGTCCAATCCATACACAGTACAGCCTCCGAGTCAGGTGCTTATTCAAGAAACACGTGGAAGAACAGCTGAACCATTGTCAGGACGGACTAAGATCCCAGTGCTTGACCATAGTACACGAGGAAGGTCTTCTCGGCCAATAACTGGACGTGCTCAGAATCCAGTTTCCCAGGGACAAACAAGTAGAGGCGTCTTCAAACCAATGACAGGACAGAAGCAGGACCCAGCTCCCAACCAACCAACAAATAGTAGGAACTCTCAGCCAGAATCTGAACCGATTCCGACCTTGCGTCCAATCAGAGATGACATCTCCCAGGCCATCACTGTCCAAAACCACCAAAGTGGAAAGGCCTCCTAACCAACTACAAGTCGAAGCCAGAATCATGCCCATTCAGTCAGTGCCTCCAGATCTTGGAGTACTGCAGCACCGTTCCTCCAATATTCAAAACTGTCTCATGAAACCATCATTTTAATTCTTCGAGCAACACCACTTGCATTGTGTTTGAATTTACAGTAAAAACTGGGGACACAGCTCTGTGTACAATTCCAGGCTCACAGAAATAGCTGCTGTATCTATATTTCCACGGACTATATGCAAGGTAAAGTTCGTTCCATTGATAGGACAGAAAACAAAATTCAAACATTGTTGAAATGCGGTATTAATGCATAATTGGTCGAGCGTTCTTTAGGCATCATCACGTGTCGCACATTTGGGTATAAGTAACTTGTGAAGAATAAGTTGGATAACATATCACGCTATGCCTGATGTATAACACTATAAACTGTTCCTGTTTGCCCGTGTAACATCTTTACATATGTTCTCTAAGATTTTGCTCTTCGCTTAAGTTGGGATTGTGTTATTTGTGTGTAAATAGTTGATGTAAAATGAAAGAAAAAAGTTTTATTGTTCCAGGTCCTCATGCATTCGTGCGTGCGTGCGATCGCGCGTGCGATCATGCGTGTGTGTGTGTGTGTGTGTGTGCGCGTTAGTTCGTTCCTTCGTTTCTCCAATAGGCATCATCAACACTTTACATCTTTTAAAAACGTACCACGAATAACACATACGATACCTAGAATAAGAGACACGAAGAAACTGAAGTTATACACACGGAAACACGACTCTCAAACTTTCTGGTCCTATATTCCTGTCATGTGCGTTTGAAACTTTGGTTGCGGAAACATCTCGGTGCATCTCGGTGTTACAGTACCATCAAGATAAATCATAACTCTTTGTTTAAATTGAATGTGTGGAATATATAGTATTTTTATGTGTCATGTGTCCACACCCGAGTACAACTTTATTGTGCAATATATTAAATACACTATGTACAACAAGATAGTACATGCAGTATGAATGCATAATGTGTCACTGTTTATACATACAGCAATGCAATAGACTACCACGCCTCTTCTGCCTAAAACCTCGGAATCATGCATACTTTTCACACGAATTCCGTGCCAGGTCATTTGGGGGTATACAAAAACGGTTGTAATTACAACAATGTACGGCTGTGTCTGAAATGTTCTGATCCGACCAACGAAGAACGAGGTGAGACTTTCAGCAGTTTGCATGTCCTAAGTGAAATAGGTTCCGTGCCTGCAGGCTGCATATGAATCAAATACACAACAGGCAGGATAGATATGTTTTAGGCAGCGTCTGTTGATGAACATGAACCCCAAAAGAATACCGCAGTGTCATCAAATTTCTCAAACTGCCATCCCTGTGCGGACGTGGTGTCTACGTTAGCTGATGATCCTTTCTTGGCCGCTTTACAGAGGATCCTAAATCGTTGTTAAATGATTTGTATTAAATTATGTGGTTTGGCTTCAGCACCATCAGCCAGAGGCTAAAATGCTCCCCAAACAGTGGTAACGTCTCGTTCTTAGTTTACTGTGATTTAAGTGAGTGAGTTTAGTTTTACGCCGCTCACAGCAATATTTCACCTATATGGCGGCGGTCTGTAAATAATCGAGCCTGGACCAGACAATCCACTGATCAACGGCATGAGTATCGATCATTGTAACTGGGATGTGATGACTTTCTCTTAGGTCATCAGTGAACAATACAGTGCTTATCTTAGGCAACCTCGGGAGAAGATCAACTAAATGTCGTGGAAAATTCACTAAAAGTATGTGCACTGTTGCTTTGAACTTTCAACATCCTCTGTATTCGCCAGATTTGGAAACTTTGAGTGGATTAAAGATTAAAAAATATGTTTTTTAGATGACCCCGGCTCGAAATGCTTCACAGTACAATACATCATGACAGTCATGATGTATTGTACTGTGAAGCATTTCGAGTCGGGGGGCATCTCCATTTTTTATAGATCTTTCTAAAAATATTTTATCCTCCCAAAGACACCAGGGCCTGTGATATCCATCCCTTCTCAAACGTGAAATAAGACTTGTCTTCCATTATGCAAATGATGATGATGACGGAGGACATTTCACACAACTAGAGGGATGCTTTCAACGCCAGTGGGATCCTGGCACACCAACATCATTGACAGTGTGAGGACATCAAGGGGGGATTGGACTGAAATCTAGCGGCTAATACCATCAACGCAGTCCATCACATTTTGTCTGAGAACTTAGAATGACCCATATTCCATGTACGTTATAACATACAAACTAATCTCTTTCAAATAGTCACCCGGAGCGCGGTGGGCGAGCTGGCTAAGGCGCCAGGCTAGTGATCCAGCGAGGTTGAGGTGTCGGGATCGAGCCCACCTGTGACCGACTGTAAAAACCTTGGAGTCAACTTTGTGTGCAGACTCTTTCAGTGTTGTCACAACCCCTAGTGTACAGTACACAACCCTGTGCACTTAAAAGAACCCACGAATCCGTTGGTATATGACCAGATGGTGGCCACATGAATACGTGCAAACACCTAGTTGCGGGTACAGCAAGGTGCAGTGAACTTGGACAAAGTACTGTGACTATGTGTCCCAGTCCACCCAGCTGTGAATGGGTACCTCGTTAGGATGAGAAAGCCACAATAACTCGGTGCGCCTAGTGGCAGCAAGAGTTGTATACTCCCCAGGGAGTTGAGAATGATAATACGATGTGCCGTTGAGATATACATCCAATGATCGAGGTAGGAAAATACCAGCGCCTTGAGCATGCACCAGTTGCGTGGATATGTGCGCTATATAAATATACTACAACAATAGAAATAGTCATAGCAGGTCTTATACGAGAGGATGGAACAACTCTTTCACACATTAAGCCATTTTCTCACGTGAACATGAGAAGCAGATGCTTTGGAATATACAAACTGAATCAGATACCACGTCCTAAGAACCGGATTAGCATTGGTCTTCAGCAGCCCATGCTTGTCGTAAGAGGCGACTAATAGGATCGGGTGGTCGGGCTTGGTTGACACATGTCATCGTATCCCAGCTGCGTAGATCGATGCTCATGATGTTGACCACTGGGTTGTCTGGTTCATACTCGATTAGGATCTCCCACATGGGTACAATGTGTGAAGCCCATTTCTGGTGTCCCCCGCCGTGATATTGCTGGAATATTGCTAAAAGCGGCGTAAAACTAAGCGCACTCACTCACTCACATAACATAAACATACTAAAGATACTATCATGGGTACGTTTCATCATAGGTCGCGCGTACCTATAATATATATTTCTACATGTCAGTAACACAAACAAGCTCATGTCGGCATGAACAGACTCTACATGTAAACTTGTTATCATAGGAAATCACGTGAACGTACAATGTACATTTCAACATACCTATAATACAAACATACTCTCATTGGCATACGTTTATCACACTCGCGTGACATTGCCAGTCACATGTACATAGCACCTTGAAACGTCACAGACCCAGCCTATACATCCTGACACCTGATAGCAAAGTTACAACCACACTGCCACATCCATATGGGGGCGGTGGAGTGGACAGAGGTTAAAGCGTTCGCTGGTCACGCCGCAGACCCGGATTCGATTTCCATATGAGTACAGTGTGAAGCCCATTTCTGGTGTCACATGCCATGATAATGCAGGGATATTGCTAATGGCGGCGTAAAATTAAACTCACTCTCTCACTCACTGACATATGAACACGATCAAAAAGACCAGCCACGTCATTAGCATTATGACGCTATGTTTTTTATCTGGATATCGTGATGAATACTGCAATGAATACAGCCCTCTTCACGTATTCTAAAGCGTTATCGACTTATCATAATAATTAGTTTGATTTTACCCCGCAGTTAGCAACATTCCAATAATATCCATGGGAAGAACGGACATGGGTTTCACTTATTGCAGCCGGGCGGTGGGGGAGCCTATGGTTAAAGCGGCCGCTCGTCACGTCACGCTGGAGAAACGGGTTCGATTCCCCACATGAGAACAAAGTGTAAAAGGCCATTTCTGGTGTCCTCTGCCATGATATTGCTGGAATATTGCTAAAAGCGGCATAAAACCATTCTTACTCACTCACTATTATAGCCACGTGGGGAATCGAACCGGACCTTCAGTATGACGAGGTTTGACCACTTCGCGCGAACTTTCAATATGATAAGAGGTAGAGTTACCTGCCCACATGTGTCACGACCACTGTCGCATGTCTCACATGTATCTATTTACAGTTAGTCAGCAGCAGCACTGTGTGACGGTATCTTGAACTTAAAACTGAATCAGAACAGGGCATATCATACTGCGCTCCGCCATCCCGTGAATATGAAGGTTGAAAGTGTTGTGGCCGCCATCCTCTCCCTCTTCGTTGTTGGTATGTCTATAAATTCATCTTGTAAACATTATAATACAGTTGAAGACCATGGACCAGATTTGTTTAACGTTTGTTTATATCGATCATTCGTGAAGATAGCTATACAGCCTGTACCATGTTCAATGCCCCCTTCTCTTTACCTTTAGCTCACACGTAAAGAAACATATCTTAGAAAGTTATTGTCTAATCTGGGTTTATTACACCCACTTGGTTTAAATATCTTTCATGGTATTTGGTATTGTTCTGTCTCTCATATGTTGTCCAGATAGGCGGTGCTAACTGTATAGCTGTACACTAGATTGGTTGTATTATGTAAGCTATTAACAGTTTCTTACTGACGTATCTCTTCAGGTCTTGTTTTTTATAAATTTCATTTCAAAGCAATTTACAGCATTTTCATAAAATTCAACATACGACATTTTAGGTCTTGTTGAATATCTGCATTAATATTGTTAGAATACCCATAAAAACGTACTAAACTGTATGTTAGGCATACAGGTTTACATGCCATATTGTTATATAGTTTCTATGCTATGGTCCGTCTTAATACGCTTATACTGTTAAATGAACAATAATGGGGCGTCACTTGCAAAACAATGGGAAGGAGTGTCTCATAATCAGGTTATGTGGTTGATACATGATGACATACTAGTGTAGCCTTTGATGACAGTCAGTGCGAAGTCCGGAAGCTTAATCGGGCTCTGACTGCATGTGTCTACCTGTAACGGTGTATCAAGTTCGGTGGGTTACAGAGCTAAACAAGAGACGAGAATGTGGTAGTACAAAAAATCTTCAATTCTGGCTATTTTTAAAGTGTTAACAGACTTAAACACCAATCCATCCCCACCCCACTGCCCCAAAAAATAAAATAAAATAAAATATAAAAAATATTTAAAAAAATAAATAAAAAAACAAAACAAAAAAAACAACGAAAACTCTGTGTGACTGTCAGCACTTGTCCTGAGACAAAAATTAATGCTTCTCTTGTCAATATTGTGATCAAATCACCGAGTCTTGTTTGAGATGCGAATGGAGCTTGTAGGCCGGAAGTCATTAAGTTAATCCATTCTACTGGCAATCACAGAAGGGGCAGTGGGGTAGCCTAGTGGTTAACCCGAAAGCTCGTCACGCCGAAGGCTCAGATTCGATTCCACATA